AAAATCAAATCAACTTTTCCAATTAAATATATATTTTTTAAATTAAACTTGAAATTTAACTTGAAAGAAATATTAAATCAGAAGATAGGGAAAACAATAAGTTTTATGCTGCCAGTTTTATGATATTAATCTCAAAGAAGTATATGCAGGTCATTAAGGAAAAATTATGGTTGATGGCCCTGCAATACTTCACCTTCCAAGAGTTACATAAATATCTTTGTAGTTAGAAATAAAGAACAATTCAGACCTTTGCTTATGATACATTTACCACTGTCAGACCACAAGGCCTAACCTCCAGCTTGGTCACAGATTCATATTTCTTACAACTATCACATGATGTACCAACACGACACTTAGAAGAAGTGCAGATGCATGGAAAGCCATGTATGAATATTAAAATGGCCCGACAAGCAGGACCTCATCCTCATTTCTGTGAAGGAACAGTACCCTGGTAATTTAAAAGGGCATTAAAAATCAAGGAAAAGCAACTTTCAGGCCTAATGTAAATAAAACATTTGCCTTTGTGTCCTTCTACTATGTCTGTTTCCAGCCAAATATTTCTCCCACAGTAATAAAGAAAATTAGGTTAAGTTTTAAAAATACAGAAACTCTGTACTGTAGCCAAATTAAACTATTCCAAAATACACTGTATTTGTAACTCACTAATAGTCAGCATGTTGGGCTGCTGACTTTATAATTTGCTAATAATGCTTTTCAGTATTATAAGTCAGCCACCCAACTTGTAGTCCAATGATATTTTTAACACATGTTGGGATTTTTTTGGTTTTGCTTTGTTTTTTATGAAGCAGAGAAATTAGTGGTGACCTACTGATAATGTTCTTCTTTCACTATTAAGTGAATCTTTTGATTAGGATTTAGCTGATGGCGTGGGATGCTTTCTCCCAAAGCCAGTATAATGAAAACACTACAGATGTTTCAAAACCCCACAGTCAGCATGTGTATCAGCATTACACTCCTTCCCTTTTTTCCTTTACCAATTAAAGATGACTATGGACAGGTTCTGAAAGAAATGCCATCTGCTCCTGTTGAGCCAGAAAGACAGCACCCTCACGGTTAGTATTTTCTAAGTGCACACAGGAAAACATACGTGCCCATCAGAACTGTATTTCTAACCCAGTCTCACATGTTCTGGCAGTTATAAGGCTGACGTGACCCTGACACTCTGAATAAGGTCCATCCAATGCAGCACAGAAATGTTCTTCTGGGTAAAGCAACTACCATTGTTGCGCAATATATAAATACACACACGCAGCAAAGACATCGCAATGTTTACATCTCCTTTTCATTGACTCTGTTGGTACTATTTTAATTTTCAAGGAATGATGGAGGGGCAGAAAGAGCTTGGGTATATTTTTGGTATCTTCTTTCTGTTAAGATTACACTTCACCATTTTAAATCAACACCTGTGAGAAAAAGGCTGTTGGATCAGATCAATGACACGGCTATTCCCAAGTTTCAAGTCTCTGCTCTAAGACTGAAGGCTTGTAAATGTGGATAAGTCACTTAGCTGTTTACATTTTCAGGTAGATCATGAAATGGAAAGCACAGATACACTCAAGGGATATTTAAGTATCAAATACTATTTCATAAAGTGTCTTGAAGGTGAGGAATATTATGCAAGCATTATACTTACTACTACAATAAATAATCTCAGAATAAAGAAAAAGCAAGCCAGATAGAAGATATGGAGGGAAGATACATAGAAAAAAACCACAATAATCTGCCTTTAAGCTTTTAGGAAAAAAAGGTAGTTGAATTTAGTTTTGTTTCAGAACAGTGGACTTCATTCTAGATCCATTCTTTTCCGCATTTGTGTTTTGATTTTGGACATAACACAAGACTTAATGTTCTTCTCCTTGTCAAAGCCTGTAGATAGGCATCATTTTTTTAAGGGAAAGCACAGTACCATTAATACTATAATTAAGGTATCTTCCTTTTTTTGCCTGGTCCTTTCAGTACCATTTTCCAAAGCAGGACTGGGAAGACACATCAACCTTTACTGATCAGTAAAGTAAGTAAGTTTTACATTCATTTATTTTAAATACAGGCCATTATTCTATTTTCTTGGTCTGATGTCTTATTTGAGTGTATTAATAAATATCATGTCTGGACTTCTCAGCAAGTATGGCTCAGATCTGAACCATGGCAGTGGTGGTGGGTGAGGGCAGAAGGGAAACCCACTGATCACAATTCAGGACAACTTTCTATTTTTTTTTGTATACAACCACTGCTTTCATTTCTAGCCACTCTGGACTGTGAGCAAATGCCCAAGTTTTGGTAAATTCAGTCCACTGAGGTCAAATGAGTACCTTCCTACACATATGTAATTTTCCCTCACTTCCATGTGCTGATGAATCATTCCTGGATCCTTCTCTTTCCCAAAAGTAGCCTGGAAAAAGGGCAAAGAAACTATGATCCGCAGTGCTGAAATTCCCCATTGCGGCAGAAGCGTGACAAGTCGTTCAGCGACACGGCTCGCTTCCTCTGCTTCAGCCTCAGCACCGAGAGCAGAGAGGACAGAAAAACAAACATTGAGTGCTACAACAGACTTGCGGCATTGCTGCTGACCATACTGCCAATTAGACAAATCATAACACACTAGAGTGTGTTCTCTGAAAACCCTAAATCACATAGCAACAGTAGGAGTATACATTTTCGCAATAGCAGTTCACATGAAATGTATATTTTTGGTCAAAGTCTAATTCAGAGCTGGGTTATTACCAAGGACAGCTGAGTTTTGTAGCCCTGGCACGTTAATGGACTATTTCCTGATTAATCTGTTTTCATCAATGTACTACGTATTTATGAGTTGCACCTTCACAATCTACTACACATCTCTTTTCAGAACATTTCCAATCAGATGAACCTGTTTTAAGGATTATGACTGTGTTACGCACACACGTACCGCTTCACTCGATGTATATGAAGGAGAGAATACCACATGTAGTACTATCTTTAATTCAATACTGCTTGTCATTTTTTTTTTCCCAGAAAACATATTAGTAATGCAGGCATGCATGCGGTTAGGTAAAAATCTCAGAAGCTTTAATGGAATGTGAAAACACAGAGCAATTTCAGCGCTGTCTGGGTCTCAGAATTTAAAACAAAGCATTTTCCTTAGATTGGCTCTACATTTTTTAAGCTTAATAGCTTCAATTGAAATGATTTTATGCAAATCTGTTTCAAATGGAATAAAGATACTTAAAATTATTTAATTTGGTTTTTTCACACTCATTTTTATTAGCTGTTAAATATTTAGTTGTATACTAATGGCAAACTATGATAAAACAATCAATTACTTTTGCTACACATGCTCAGTCTATACAGAGAATTAAAATGTTAACTGCTGTACTGCAAAACTCGCAGGTCTTGCTAATAAAAATATATTTTCTAACTTGTTATAAATGATTACATTCTTCGCTATTAATTCTATAAAAAGAAATACTTACTACTGTGCACAGTCAATCAGTTGATATTCGTTTGACCTCTCGAAGCATGCCTTTACGCCTTCATCATCCCAGAGCTTTTTTGCATGTTCAAAGAATTCCTGAAAATTGGAAATGCAACAAATAAGAGAACATTTCTCAATCTTTTCAATCCCCAATCTATATGTGTTGCTCCCTCCCTCCAACTTTCATGCTTCATACTTTTGCAGAATGATAGATTACACCTTTAAAGAAGAAAAGCAAAAAACATTTATTAGCAAAATATACTGAACATAGGGCTGCTGACAGTTTCCAGAACATGATATGTAATGAAGACTGTCTTCAAAATTCATACCAGGCCATATATAAAATTTACTATAAGTACGAATGTTACTGAGAAGCATGCAAACTTAATTTTTAACTGAATTTATGCTTCTGTCATGGAAAAGCTACTCAGCTTATAAACACTAGCTTCCCAGAGAAAGAACCAGTCTGTAACTTTAAAAAGATTGTGTAATTTTTCCTGAAAAACACAACTTTCCACTACTTGGTATTTTCTCATGCAACATAATAACTTGATTGCAAGACACTGAGAAGTACTGTTTGCTTCTTAGTAACTTAGAATGTTACTAAGAAGCAAACTTAATTTTTAACTGAATTTATGCTTCTGTCATGGAAAAGCTACTCAGCTTATAAACACTAGCTTCCCAGAGAAAGAACCAGTCTGTAACTTTAAAAAGATTGTGTAATTTTTCCTGAAAAACACAACTTTCCACTACTTGGTATTTTCTCATGCAACATAATAACTTGATTGCAAGACTTTCAAAGCCTTTGCTCAACACTGCTTCCTCCAAGCAGTCGTCTGGCACAACGTGCTTTTCCTAGCTGCTATCCCAAGCATCCCAATCCAGAAATATCTGCTGGCAAGCTTATTTCAGAATTATTTGAAAGAGGAATCAAAGTTGTCTTTGGTGACGATGAAGCCATAGCTCCGTTGTATACAAGGCGCAGACGCAGAGTGGTAGGTCTGACCCTGCCTTAGGCTCCCCCAGCCCTTGCTGTAAAGGCCTCACACGTACATTTTATGGCGTATCATTACTGAGAAGTCAAACCATAACTGAGTTTTTCCAGCTAAAGCTTCCTAAAATCAAACAAAGCATGTTTAGACAAATAAATATTTCCTTTATTATATGACTGAGTCTTTCCTCCCTCAAGTGGAATTGTTAAAGTAGTACGTCAACTTAGAAGTTGTTTGTAATCTCTTAACACCTCAACACGGCTACTAAATCATCAGAGTTCTTCGGTCAGTCATAAATTTGTGAAACCTAACAAACGGCTTTTCCACAGTTCAATCTGGATCTGTGTAAACTGGCTGTGAGACCACTATTCCCTTCATAATCCTGTCAAAACACTGTGTAAATACCTGAATTCTGAAACCTTCTGTAATTGTTTGCCAGTCCCGCCCCACACCTTTTCAGGATTAAAGGCTGCTCTCAAAAGACAAAGTTTGTAGCAAAAGATCTTGGCTGCAGCAAGTTCACTTTTACTCTGTATGGATGTCCCAGCCTTGAAGGCCACCCCTGTGAAGTGCCCCAGAAGGTGACACTGCTCCTCAGCAACTGCCTGTGACCTGCTGGCGACGTTTTCAGGGAGAGGCAAAACACAAGACAAGATTTTCAGAACAAACTAGTACTGAAAATTATTTAGTTAAGCTTTGAACATGGCACAGAGGTCCTGAATAACCCCAGAAATGTTTTCTTCTTTCAATTATATTGTGCATAATGTACAGAGAGATAAAAATCCATTCTTTAAGAAGTTTTCAAAATTTTAGAGAAAAGGAGATGTTAAAGCAGATGTGAAAAACTTTCGCAGAAAGTCTTGGCAGAAGAGAGGAAGCAACACTAGAGATTGGCAGATGCTTATACTGCCCTTGGAATTTATTTATTCACTGTCGTGAGGACGTGTTTATTTTGTCTTTGTTATTTTAACGACTTATGTAATGATTGTTTAAAACACTGCAGATCCACCTTTTGAAGTTATGCTATGGCTATTATAAACTCTCTGTTCCTACAGCAGAAGGAAAGCAAAAACAAGCTCAAGAAAGGATAAGATATCAAACTAAATAAGTAGAAGGAGAAAGCGGACACGCATAACAGAGAGCGTGACTACATGAAAAAGAAAGAACTGAAAAAGTCCAAATGATAAATACTCACTGGAAAGATGGAGCTCTGGATAAGCACCAGAGACCTGAGGCGAAAGGACCCAGCTCTCCCACCCGCCTCGATCAGTACGCGTACAGCGGTGTACAGCCTCAGCCCTCCCTCCCGCGGCCGCTCGCTGCTGCAGGCACGGGGGCCGAGCACGGTGTGCCCACCCTCCTCTCCTCACCATCAGCAGGTGAAAGCCATCTCTGAGTGGAACCTACATCTAAAAAATGGCCCCATTAAGCCCTGTGCAGCATATGGGAAGGGGATGGGAAGATGAGAAGGATGTCAGCGTGAAAGTATCCTTTCCTGTGGGGTGGAATGGATTGAGAGATGGCTGCAGATGTAAATAAATAAATAAAATTGTATAGCAACAGCAGTTTATAACTTCACTTCTGTTTTTACATCCTCGGTGTAAGCTTTATTTACTCTTAAAATTCTCTTCTGCAAAAGAGGCAATCTTTTCAGCTCAGCTTCTGAGACCCTACAAATACGTTGTAAATACAGGGTTTCCGTATTATATGCTTCAAATATTTCCACCTGACCATTATATCTCAAAGCAGTCTATTTAAAACGACTTCCAGACTTCTAGTCCAAAGCAAATCCTATAAAACGGAGCAAATATACTTACCTCATTAAAATGTACCGATCTACTGCAGAGGAGTACACTTGCCTGCAAATTGCTTCCCACACAGCTACCCGATCCTTCTTTCCCAGGTGACTAAAGCCTTCCAGAAAAATCCTGCTTCATTTCAAGACACCAAGTACCATGATCCAACTTTTCACACTTGTTTTTAACCCCTTTCTCGTCTGCTCTGTCTAGTGGAGGGTGTCCCTGCCCATGGCCAGAGGGGTGAAACTAGATGATCTTTAAGGTCCCTTCCAACCCAAACCATTCTGTGATTCTATGATTTTTTCTTCTTGCTGCTGAAGGCTCCCATTGCACGCAGTCAAGCATGCAGGAGGATCCTGCTCGCATATGCCAAACACGTCTGGATCTCAATCTACTCTCCACCGCAGGACAACATCCAGACAGCAGTCACCACGCTAGCTGCAACTTCTGCAACCAAGCCCCCTTTGCTTGAACGGCCTTCCAGCAACCGCTTCCCGATCCCCAATCCCCATGACTCATTTCTATAGACTCCAATGGTTGTCACCTCTTCCTCTGCCACGACTGCATCATGGCCACCTTGTTGGCAAGCAGGCATTGGTGAGCTAATAAAGGTGTGGGCTTTGGGCTAGGCCCCCCTGCGGCACCTGGTCTTGTGGCTGCAGTATCCTCAGGGTGGCAGCCACATTTGGCCATTGAAGGGAAGAGCTGGGTATTTCAAAGGACACAGAATTCAAATTTGCTCCAGCTGATAAAGGAAGATGGGCTAAAACTTTTCAGTTAATGCTTCTAGGGAGTGGGGAACTTCATATAAAACATTACCTCAGGTTAGTACAACACAAATAAGGTTTTAAGAGTAAGTTGTGACCTTATCAGCTTATGTTCTGAGATTGCCAAATAAAGATTTTCTTAAGGGTCCAACATCTGTAATGTGGCTATTCAGAAATTCCTAAAAGTCATGAGCCAGGTCCTTTAAGAACTCTCAACTGGGACAGGAGAAAACAGGGACATGGAAAATCACTAGAGGCATCTGATGCACTTGGGTTGCAAGCACATGCAGCTGACCTCTATTGCATCAAAGTCACCAAAATCTGCTTGAAATATTTAGTATACTGAAGAGAACAAGGAACAGTGTACTATGCCTGAAAGCAGAAAAACACCTACATCATGACACGTCTATGAACACAAATAAAACAGAGCTGTTTCATCCAAACTCTTACTTAGGGACAGACGCATACAAATATTAAGACCTCTTAATATTGTTTAAAATAAAACCATAAATATATTTTTTGATGTAGTATTTTAATTAGAACATTAGAGAAGTAAATGATGATGCCTCAGGTCTCATGAGTTACAGGTACTTTTTACTTTACACACATTAATTTACACCAGTTACCTAAGAATTTATAGCCATCATTAGACCAAACAATACCAAAATTTTGATGTGATCAAAATGAAGATGTGACACACAACTTCTCAAATATTTGCTAATACAAAATTATCTGGAAATTTTCCACTCTTCCTGAGACAATCCAAAAAACCTCATCCCCACATTCCTGAGCTTCCTTTTCACTAGCAGATAATTTTTCCTACACATAAATATTCACACATCATCTAAAAATCATAAAGGGACATAAACAGGTTATGATTCTTTTTTTTTCCCCAGAATAAATAAGTTAAAAGATGTACATAAATGTAAAAACATCCTGAGCTGATATCACTGATGTAAACAGTATTGTATTTTTACTACATCTTAAAAAGGTCTTGTAGAAATATTTTTACTCACCTACTCCAAGTTAACATTTTTAGGTTGAAAAAAAAGAGGCAATATATTCCTATACAAAACATTCCAAGAAACCAATACAGACAACAAATGTAGATGCACTGTTGCTAAGTCTCAAAGCACTGTTTTTCAACTTTCTCATACTAGAAGTTACAGCATGTTCTTGAAATTTAATTTTCCTTATTTTGGAAATAAACTTATTTATTGGTAGGTTACCTTAGAAACCTCCTCCCCCTTATAACTCCTACAAAAAAATTTTCAAGTAGCTAAAAAATGGACTTGTTTCACTTTTCAGCTGCCTAAATTTGGAAAAAAAACCAGGGATGATTAAACAGTGACATATCTTCATGAACAAATCTTTATGTATTTTGGAAACAGAACTTTTCATCTAATTGCTTTACAAACCACAAAAGTTCATGTTAGGTCAGGAATACAATTTTTATTCTATTAAGATTCCTTTCTGTCTTCCTTCCAGATGGAGCATACATTTAATAGCTATCCTGATGTCACCTTTCGGTCTCCCAG